TATTGAAAGAACGAAATGCAAGAAAAAAGAATCTTATCTTTTGGGGAGGATGCATGTGGGCATCCTTCATATTGAAACATTGGTTTGCTCCTTGGCCATGCAAAGTAACGGCAAGACATTAACCTCTAAATTGGTGTTATTGTCAATGTGTTTTCTTCCCTTCATTTAAATAATTGAAATTGAAACGTGGGCTTCCTTCTGGATTGAAATGTGGCTTGTCCCTGGCTATGCAAGCCATGCAAAGTGATACTCTAGGTGAATTGGAATATTTGGCAGCCTTCAAACTGAGACTCCTCAAAGTATCTGAAAGGTGTGTTACTTCAGCAAGTACATGTCTTTGGCATATTGGTGCCTTGAGATCTCATGGTGGCTTCGGCACGTATGGAGCTAAACGATAAGCTTAAAAGGTGATGATTGGAAGGGTGCCGAAGGGCACTTAAGGAAGGGAGAACGACGAAGGCTTCTTGTGTCGATTCCCACAGACGACGCCAAACTATTGATGCTCTTTTTGGGAGGGTCAACTTAGATAGAGGTAGAATGGTGGATGATGGGTGAAGGTGAGGACCTTCAGCATGTGTATGAAGATTTGGGCAAGCGATAAATATAAAGAAGACGAGATATACGTGGTTCACCCTTAATAGATGGGCTATGTCAATGGAGAAATAAGTTCTCATTATAATAATGTATGTTTACATTTGTACATGGAGTTGGACCCAATTACAAAGATAAGAAGGGAGAAGCCCATGATTAAAAATAAAGCCCAACCCAGGATCTAGAAGAGAGTCCCTTTCTCAAGGGAGAGTAGTCTTCTTTTATAGGCGAGGGGGAGTCTCCATCTCTTGTAGTTTTCCAATGTGAGACTCCTCTTGCTTTGCTTAGAGTTGTGACTTGTGGTAATGCTTCTTTGGCTAATGTGATGACCTCTCAAAGCATGCCACGTGGCTAATCCAGCATAGCTAGTTGCTTGGTTAGTAACGGTACCAACATGTATTTTTTATTTAATTGCTTATGATTGATGGCATGCATACTTTGAATTGTTAATAACTATTTTAAACTTTCTAATTGTCTTAATGTCTGATCACCATTAGGATCTTTAGAAAAGTAATTCGATGCAATTTTGGTTGGAAGGTTTCCTATAATTGATGTTGGCTTCTTGTGATTAATAATTATAATTTCACTTAAGATGAACACTATGTCTTACGGGCTTGTATGGTTTTTCAAAAGGGTTTTCATAAAGCATAATGAGTCTTTCATGTTCATATTTGATCCAAACGTCCGAACAAGTTCCATGTTGGATATACGTTCTATGTTGGAGGTTCCAAGTAGAGTATAAATTAGGAAAACCTAACCTTCAAAGTGGCATGTGTAGATCATAAGTAATTGGTAAAAATTCATTGGATTGCTAGGCAATGGTGTGCTTTTATAAATTGGTTTTTAAAACTCTTTTCTTTGATCATATTTGTTTGTAATCAACATTCTTTTTTAGTGTTAAACGATTTCAGAATCATCCTTCTCAACCTTTAATTTCAATTAGTTAATTAGATATTGTTTTTACGTAAATTGTTAAATAGTCCTTGAGGAGAACGACCTTGCATGAGCATCTATAGTACAATATCCTTGTATTCTTGCAAGTATTTCATGTGATGTTAACCCTGTTTGCGCAGGTACTAAAAATCCTATCAAGAAATTGGCGCAATTGCCGGGGACTATTTTAGATAATTTTTGTTTAAACTTTTTCTTATTTTTATTTTTATTTTTATTCTTCACAAAGAAATTTTTTTTTTGACAATTTCGTTTTATTGCAGAATCTGCAAACTGCACGGTCTAGACCAGATCAGGCACTGCACAGATTGCATAGTTTGATCCATAACCAGAATGCACACTGCACAGACAGTGACGAGAAATTAATTGGCTGCCCGTGCCAATGATGTCCCTAATTACATTGTGTATCCTGAACAAGAAGAGGGTGAGTCGTTCGAGATCGAGCACCATATGCTTGAAATTCTACCTACTTTTCATGGGCTACTTAATGAAGATGCGAACATACATATTGCAAAATTGATTGTGGGTTGTAAAAATATTTTGATTAGGGGTTTTTCTGCTGAAGCTATTAAGTTACGTCTTTTCCCTTTCACTTTGAAGGACAAGGCAGAAACTTGGTTATTCACTCTTCCGGAAAATAGCATTACTACTTGGAAACAATTACATACAAAATTCCTAGTATTATCTAGCATCCAAGACATTAAATTACAAGCGGGAAATTATGACATTCACTCAGAAGCCTAATGATGAGTTCCATGAAGCGTGAGAAAGATATATAGAGATGTAAATTAAGTGTCCACATGTTAATATTGATTCAGATACACAGACAAATATTTTCTTTGACAGGCTTAATCCGACATCTAAGAGCCATGTTAATGCCTCAGCTGGAGGATCGTTGTCAAATAAATCTGCAAGAGAGGCATTTGAACTGTTTGATAAGATGGCTACAAAATCTCAACAATGGGCAGCAAAACATTCACAGAAAAGGGGCATTTTTGAGTTATCAGTAGGTTCTCCCAACATGTTTGCACAAATAGAAAAAATGGAGAAGAAAATTGATGCAAAATTTGATATTCTTCTACAACAAATTACAAATTCTACACAACAGCAACCACTTACACCAACCGTTTGCATCATGGCTACACACGACATAATGGGCTGCCCGCATAAAGAATCCTACCCCGAACTTGTTGAGCAGCATATTAATATGATGAATAGCTATCAAAGGCCTAGGAATGATGCATATGCAACTCATTACAATCCAAGGTGGAGGGATCACCCTAATTTCAAATGGGGTGACAATCAGAGTAATGCAAAACCATTCTAGCATGCACAAAGACCATTTGCTCCATCCAAACCAACTTTGGATGATCAGCTTGCTAAATTGGCAGCAACAACTCAATCATTCATCGAGGGAAACAATCAAAGATTTCAAAATGTTGAAGCATCAATTAAAAGTTTGGAACAACAATTTGGACGGCTAGCTGCACAGATTTCATAGAGAGAAAAATGCAAATTTCCTAGTCAAACAGTGCCTAATTCAAGAGGACGTGAAGATTGTAACGTTGTTCGGACTTTACGATGTGGAAAGAGCTATGACAATCGTGAAAATAGCACTAAAAAAGATCAGCCATCAGTGAAAAATTATGCAGACAATTTTGCGGCAGCAATTGAACCTGCCAGTTCTACAAAAAAACAGAATCTGGCAGATATAGAAACTATCCCAAAATAGGTTTTCTAGCGTGTTTATAACTCTCCACTGCCTTATCCTGAACATGTAATTCCTAAAGCAAGAGATCAGCAACTCAAAGATTTTATGCAGACATTATCCAAGGTTCAAATCAACATTCCATTGCTAGATGCAATAAAGAAAATTCCATCATATGCCAAATTTTTGAAAGAAGTTTGCAACGGTAAAAAGAAACTTGTAGATTTGGACAAAGTTATTTTGACAGAATAGTGCAGCACAGTTTTGGCAAAAAATAAGTGAAAACGGCCAAAACCATAGGCTTAATATGGGTGTTTTGATTAATTTTCAAAACTTCAAAATCGATCCCAACCACATATATAAATAGATAGAGCACAAAGAGTAGATGAAGTTTCCTACCTCGGTCGATGGAAATGATAATCGGAAAAAGCTCTGAAGCCCCCTTTAATTCCTGTCATTCTAGCCGTTAATCCTTGGATTTTTGAGCTGAGAAATGACATGGGTTAGGTAGAGGATGAAGAGACAACTCTTTTGGTACCAACCACTTTAGAAACAGAAGTCAAATGGTGATGAAATCGCCGGTCAAAGTGACAGCATCGCTATGTGAGTGTCAGTGAGAGAGAGAGAGAAAGAGTCACAAGAGGAGAGAGAAGTGAGAGAGAAGGAGCTGTCCAGCTTTTTATAATTTGATTTTGTACAAATTACAGTTGTGCACTAAACTTCTGTGGATCGTCACTTCTTCATTTCAACTCCGATTTGAGCCCCCACGTGCTTATGAACTCGCGAGCTCGAGCACTACGTAAAGGAAACAAAAAAAATTCCAACATGAGCCATGAGTAAAAATTCAACTCTAAACTACCAAGGAACCCTAAGGTTAAAGTCGTCCCTTCACTTTATAATTTTTTAAATTCAATTAAATTTTGGAACGGGATGTTACAATTGATCACTTCTATATTCTATCTCTCAGCTTTATTTTGAGTGCTTATATGGATTTCGGAGATAAATATTTAGAACTATTTTGATTTTGTGCGGTTATTCAGTCTTTGATCTTTGTAGAGAGAAAATCAACTCAGTTTTGGGTGGGCTGAGGGAATTTGTGTGTGTGGAGGGTAGGTGTTTCATCATAGAGAGAGAATTCAGATGGGAAGAGGAAAGGGGGAATGGAAGAAGGGGCTTTGATGAGGGAAGGGGAGGAATGGATTTTAAGGTGGGCGAGGGATTGCTTGGAGTCGTTGGTGGTGCATTTTATTCAAAAAAGGAGCTTCGTAGAGGATTTACATATTAGAAAGACTAAAATACCCTTGAGAAAGGATGAAAAATTGGATGACGTACGTTATGGTCAGATGACAAATCATGAATTTTGAAACATTAAGGTGACATTTCTCTTAAAATTTTCTTTAAAGTGACAAATTGAAACTGATGTAGCCTCTAAATAATGAGCCGTGTTGTAGCCTCTAAACAATGGGCCACGAAATTTCAAATTTTTTTTGTCATTGTGGTACAATGGTCAAAGTGCAATGGAATTTAAACAAATGGATGAAAATTAGGAACAATCAGTCAAAGAACTACAAACATATGAGTTTCATAATTATGTTTATGTTGACAGTCGTCAAAGGACTAAAAATCAATGTCTAATTTTACACGAGGTTTAATGGAAATTTAATCTTATACAAGGACTAAAATTGAAATTATTGTATGTACACAAATTTGGAATTCAAATTTTGTATGTACATAAATTTTGAATCTCTAGAATTATTGTAAATACATAAAATTCACATTGTTGAATTAAATACAAATATTGAATGAAGTATATGATATGAAGTTTTCAATACGGCTTAAGGAAACTTTTGAACCAGTGCGCCGACAGTTTTGGGTGTCTTTTAAGCCTATCGTTGTAATCCACATAGGTAATACCAAATCGAACACTGTATCCCGAACTCCATTCAAAGTTGTCTAGCAACGTCCATGGAAAGAATCCCTTCACTTTGACACCATTGCTAAAAAGAAATTAAATATATTTATGTCAATAATATGAATCAATAACTCAAAATCTAAAGCTAGACCATATACATACGTGTGTTGATATATATTCTAAATGAATTTGTTAATATACTTACTGAATAGAACTTTGAACATAATGAAGGTGGCGATTGTAGTAGTCAATTCTATGGGTATCATTAAGGGCTTCGGCAAGTGATAATTTCGGATCATTGAACTCATCCACACCTACAATATAATACATTTTAAATTTAGAGACTTTGTACTACTTGTGTGTGTTTTACACCAAAAATATGTGAAACATTGATCATGCAATTACTTAAGGCTAGAAATAATTACCATTTTCAGTAATGTAAATGACTGGATTGTGATATTTCTTCTTTGTGTAGAGTAAAAGATCTTGAATTCCTTGTGGATAAACATTTAGCCATTCCGAAGCACCCTGCACCCAAATTTGAAGATATTTAGATTTTTAGGAGTCACATTTGTAAGTGCAAAACGATTAATGGTCAAAATCATAAAGGCATAATCTAGTAATTTGATGTGCACCTTTGAACCGATGGGGACCCCGTTACGCTCAGCTGCCACAACGTATATGAATATCAGAATCTAATTAGTCTATAAACTTAAATTGCATGAATTAAATTCTGAATTTTTACTCACATGAAAGATTAACTCCAGCATCTGTTGTGTAGCTTGCGTATACAGAGTTATTTTGAGGTGCATCACTTGCATAGTAACCAGCATAGTAATTTAGTCCAAGAAAATCAAATGAACCAATTAGCAACTCGGATTGTTCTTTCGTGAATTTTGGTAATCGGCTTCCGACAAGAGATCGCATGCTTTGAGGATAGTCACCACTTGTCAATGGCTCAACAAACCTACAAGAATGTAAAATTTTCAAGCATTAACTTGACATTATAATATACATTGCTTGCTAGTAAGTAGTAAATATTACATATTCATAAGTAAATTCAAAATACACTTACCATCCGAACATAAAATCCAAAGCTCGTAATGCAGCATTCTTATTTTCTTTTTCTTCTGATAGGGGCTCAAACCAATGTGACACTAGTGTTATCCCTATCACTCCATTTTGAGAGGCCTGCACAAGAACATTTAGTTTGTTTGTTTTAGAGTCACAAAAAAGTAAAGTAGTCGCTCTCTTGTTACAACTTAGAATCCAATATTATGAGAAACAAAAAAACTGATGAATTGTACCTGATATTTATTTTTGTACAATTTTATGGCAGCTGCATGTGCAAGGAGCAGGTGGTGTGTTACCAAATATGGTTCAGTAGATGAATCTCCCCCGGTGCAGTTTAGTTGCTGCCAAGTAGAGCATCGTCCCGGCGCATGAGACCCGATTGCGTAACCAAAGTTACTAAAGGTATATGGCTCATTCAGTGTGCTCCAATGCTTTACTCGATCACCAAATTCCTTATAACAAAGTTCTACGTAATCTTGAAAATGATTGCTGTATATACACATATCAGAATGTAAATGTCATAATTGTATTTATTAATTGAATTATTAATACGATTAAGAGGACTAATTTCTTCACTTACACAATATGAGGGCTTAGGAAACCACCATATTCGTCTTCTAAAGTTTGGGGAAGATCCCAATGGAAGAGTGTCACAAATGGCGTTAGACCTATAAATGGCATGATCAATAAAAGCGAGTTATAAATTTGATAAAACGAGTTTTTTATTTTTATTTTTATGAGTGCATGAAACTGTAATTTTATAAATTATTGATATTGGAAGAAAATTACCAAAATTCACTAAAGAACAATCTAGGTCGGTAATTGGTTTATTTGACTTTCTTGGACTAAATTACTATGCTGGTTACTATGCTAGCGATTCACCTCAAAATAACTCTGTATACGCAATCTACAAAATAGATGTTGGCGTTAATCTTTCATGTGAGTACAAATTGAGAACTTAATTCAAGATATTTAAGTTCCATAGACTAATTAGATTATGATATTCATATGTGTTGTGGTTGCTGAGCGTAATGGGGTCTCCATTGGTTCAAAGGTACACATCAAATCACTAGATTAACCCCTTATAATTCAGATGATCAATGGTTTTCTCTTCAAGCTTTTTCTGAGCAGATATGTGAGCAGAGCCACATCAACGCCATCCCCTGTCACTTCTATTAGGCCCTTGTCCTGCTGCAAACTTGCTGAATTCACCCCTGTATATCATATGTACATATACGTCAGTACAAAACAGATGGGATTAAAAATTGATCTTTGATTATTTGTGGAGATATATTTAATTATTGGGTTTAAATTAATTTCTGTGTTTTGATTCAGAATGTTGTAAAAAAGATAGAGTTTTGGCTAATTACCATCAACCCCAACTGCAGTCTTCATAGCTTTGGCTCTGGACTTCTCATCATGCACAGCAGACAACTTGATCACCATCTTTTGCTGCAAAAAAAACCAGAACAACTTTCAATTAGCATAAACCCAAGTCTTGAATTTCTTCCTCTGTTTCCCACAATGCATATATCTTTTGCATGGACCTCAGTTTCACACATACCTTCATGATCCCTGGTTCTTAATTGATGAAGATTGTGATGATGAGCCAAAGATCTCTCAAGCTACTGGCTCTTTTGGGTTGGAGAGAGAGAGAGAGAGAGAGAGAGAGAGAGAGAGAGAGAGAGAGAGTGGGAGATGATGTGTCCTATTATGTTGTGGAAAATTGGTGAAGAAGAATGTGAGAAGGGATTTGGTATTTATAGAGAGGCCTCTTGGATGGAGTCTTTGTTGAGGCAAGCCAAGCCAAAGTGCTTTGCTGATGAGAAATGAGAACCACTTAGGTGACTTCCTATTGGCCACCTCATTGTGAAATTGGCTATATATCCTATATGATTTGTATTTGTTTTACATGTAAGTGTAGATTGTAACATTTTATGTTTTTTACTTCTCTTTTTTATGAAAAGTAATTTGTCTTTCACTTTAGGATGTATGCAACAACAAATTATGATCTCACAAAAAGGTTAAATGGCATTCAAGTTATTATATGGATCTTTCTGTGAAGTTTAATCACCCAATGAAGGACTTGACCTTGTCAATGAATATGACTTGTTCTAACAATCCATGTGCTGCATGCAAAATTCCATTAATGAGTTGATAGATGGAATTATCTATTAAAAGCAATCTGTTACACATCACTTTTCACTCACTTAAGTCATGCCCATGAACTGGGGCAGGTCAATCAACTTTTCTTGCACAAACAAACCTTCTGCAAGAAAAATACATAATTGTCATATAAAAACAAGTTTATTTCGTCATCACTCCCTGCAGGGTGGTGGAAGAAGACTCATTGACCCTAAAAAAGAAAAAGAAAATGGTGGTGGAAGAAGACTCATTGACCCTAAAAAAGAAAAAGAAAATGGTGGTGGAAGAAGACTCATTGACCCTAAAAAAGAAAAAGAAAATGGTGGTGGAAGAAGACTCATTGACCCTAAAAAAGAAAAAGAAAAAAAGACTCGGTTTTGTTTGTAATTGTAATTTGTAGCATCTATATCCTAAAAGTCATAAATGAAACAAAACCAATCAATGGTTAGACTTCTGATTTTTAATTCCGCGTGATGGGCTGACAAAATGCTACCACTAATTTAATTATATGCTAGTACTGAAAATGAATGAAAACCAACTCAATAAAATTGTTTAGATTTTTTTTTTCTCAATAAATAGTTAGATTAATAATTGTTAGTACCATATTTCTTAATTCCATGTTGAACATCATTTATAATTTAGATCAATATATAACTCATATAGGGGGATGGGAGAGGGCTTTTCGAAGGGTAGGTTCTCTCTTGTTCGGGATCGAGAGTGGACGTTTGCATCATGTGATCTTCACTAAGGAGTTATTCTTGTCTAATTCTTTACTTTCATTCGGAAAAAATAAAATATATGAGATTTGACCATTTCGTGGATTATAATAAATATGACTCAATTATAATTTAGATGGAAAAGTGTAACGGTTGATGTTGAAGGTCAAACTGATTCATGGACCAGTATGAGTAATGCATTCACACTCATTCTCTACCAAAACCTAAGAAGTAAGGGGTCAACAATTACTGCTAAGTACTAACAAAGACTTCAGAATAAAGTTGCATTTTTCTAATAGGATGAATTCATTGGCATCGACAAATTCTCTCTCGGTCATGCATAAAAAATTGCATACGCGAGAATGATATAACTTATGTGTCTATAACATTTTATTACTTGACGTGACATATAATGTATTTCTTGATATAAACACGTAAGTGAGTTACATCAAGCCAATATAACATATAATGTATCTCCTAATGTAAACACCTGAGTGAGTTATATCAAGCCAATATATGCAAGTTTTTTCCTAATTTCGTAAGCAAATTTTAGCTGTCGAAATATAATTTTTGGGTTTTTCATAAAAATAAAACTAACCGTGAACGTAACGTGTGGATTGTAGGTACTAGGTATGGGGTCAACCCAAAAATGAAGTGATGTAATTAAACGTCGTGATTGGATGACAATACACATTGATGTTCATATGATCAAATTAAAGCAAAGCAGTAGGACGAGTGGATCCTTTTTTGAGTGCATGAAAATTTGATTTTGTCTATTTGTTTTACGGAGAGGAGCTATTCACAGATACAAAAATACCTTCTTCTCAAAAAGTGCTAAACGTGTAGCTTGAAAGTTTCTCTTCTCCTCACGACCTCTTTTTAAAATTTAAAATTTTATTTATTTATAAAAAAGCGATAGCATTTTATTGATAAGAACAAATTTACGCATGTAACACCAAATTTATGTTTTTTTTTTTTAAAAAAAATTTATGAAAAGTCATTTGTGTTTCACTTTAGGATGTATGCAGCACCAAATTATTGAAAAGTTGCCAATTTTGTGCAACATACATAATGTCATTTTCTCTTTGTAATTTTATTTCGTGTTCTTACATAAAACCAAAAACAGACAAGGAAAATAAAATGAAATTTCCAATTGGTTCTTTCACCCAGCATTATCAAACATGTGCAATAGTCCTAGTCCTAGTCCAACATGTGCAAAATTGGAAAATGGAAAATTAAAGAAAGTTGATTGGAAATGGTTTAGGTCTAACATATTCTTTGGGGATTAATTCAAAATTGGAAAATTAAAGATTACACGATTAAGTCAATAGTCCTAGGTAGTCCAACATGTGCAAAATTTGGTGGAAGAAGCTTCTATATCTTAAAAGTCTCTCTCATTTGTGCATTACAAAACCAACCAATGAATGAAAACCAACTCAATACAAATTGTTCATATTTTTTATTTTCCATCGGTTAGTTAGTTAGATCAATAATTGTTTTGCTAGTACCATATTTCTTAATCAATTAACCAAATAAAAAATAAAAAAAATCTTAATCACATGTGAAACATCATTTATGATTTAGATTAGATTAAGAATTAGTAAATATAGCTCGTTTATAAGTTGATACAATCTCTGTGTCTACAACACATCATCCCGTGACGTAACGTGTAATGTTAACTTCTACATCTACATCACTCATCGTCGCATGAATGCTATAGACATCATGGGTCATGAACATTTCTTTAGTTGGACGACAACCTTTCCGAAAGCCAAGGGGTGCCGCTAAAATTTATGACTAAAATTTATATCCAACATGAACCAGTCCTTGGGTTAATATGCAAACTAAAACATACGTTCTAACAACGTCGCACTATTTGTTCTATTATTATGATTACGATGGCTTAATGGAACTTATGTAATCAAGTCAACTTATGGTCATGCATCTACGGAGTTCCGTACACTTTTTATTCTTGTATTTCTTTTGTATTAAAAAAATGAACGTTATTAATTGATTGAGTAAAATAATTTGTTTATAAGCAACTAATGACATGATTACTTGCTTAGAATACGAGAATTAGGGAGTGCGCAATATAATGAATGAGTATGATAATGAGTAGTAGTTGTTGGTTCGATTTTTGTAAGAGCACGTATGAGATAAACTACTTCACTTAAACAATCTAATTTCTATTACCATATATGGTTTAGAGCAGGGGCGGAGCTATTCATAGGCCTGAGATGGCCTGGGCCCCCCCAACATCTTCTCACCTCTTTGACTGTATAAAGAGTGTAATATAGATTGCACAAAAAAATCCCATAGTTTTAAGCTTGTGGCCCCTCCAAATATCAAACTCTACCTCCGCCACTGCATGCCAGCCAGAGCATAGTTGGTGACACATCACCTACTCCTTACTCATGCAGTTGTCGCAAAATTCTACAAGAATAAATATCTATGAGTAAGTAGTACGAAGATATAATAGGGTGGTGTGGAGTATTTTACCATTTTGTGGCTCTAAATCAACTAAACTTGATATTATTGTGCAAGCATCTCAAAGAGGAGTTATAGGGTAACATTGGTATCACACTTGTTCGTGCCCCTTTCGGAAGTAATACAAAATAAAAATGCTGCGATACGATCTTTGGATTTCATGTTTGGATGGTAAGTATATTAGGAAGTTACTTATGAATTTAATATTTACCAGTTAATTGGAGAGTAATACGCCAGATAATACCAAGTTAATGCTTGAAATGTTCATGTTTTTTAAGGTTTGCGGAGCCATTGACCAGTGGTGACTATCCGCAAAGCATGAGATCACTTGTTGGAAGAAAATTACCAAAATTCACTAAAGAACAATCTAGCTAGGTCGCTAATTGGTTTATTTGACTTTCTTGGACTAAATTACTATGCTGGTTACTATGCTAGCGATTCACCTCTCAAAATAACTCTGTATACGCAATCTACAAAACAGGTGTTGGCGTTAATCTTTCATGTGAGTACAAATTGAGAACTTAATTCAAGATATTTAAGTTCCATAGACTAATTAGATTATGATATTCATATGTGTTGTGGTTGCTGAGCGTAATGGGGTCTCCATTGGTTCAAAGGTACACATCAAATCACTAGATTAACCCCTTATAATTCAGATGATCAATGGTTTTCTAAATACAAATTTAAATCCTAACAGTATCAATACCTTCAATTGGGGTACATGGTGCATCAGGCTAGATAAATATTTATCCAAGAGGAATTCAAGATATTTTACTCTACACAAAGGAAAAGTATAATGATCCACTCAATTATGTTATGAGAATGGTAATTATTTATTGTATTGAATAATTGCATCATCAATGTTTCACATATATTTGATGTAAAACTCACATTACTGCTACAAGTCAATTTAAAACTGCATACACTACTACATTTTACACTTTGCGCGACGAAGAAAATTTCGTCGCTCAAAATACATTGTAGTCGCACAAATTTTAGTGCGACAGACAATTCGTCGCACAGATTCCGTCGCGCAAAATACATTGTAGTCGCACAAATTTTAGTGCGATAGACAATTCGTCGCACAGATTCCGTCGCGCAAAAATCGTGAAGAAAGACTTTGTGCAACGAAGTTTTTTTATTCGTCTCTCAAAGAGACTTTGCGCGACGAAAAAATATTAGTCGCGCAAAGTGACTTTGCACGACGAAAAACATTGGTCGCGCAAAGTAACTTTGCGTGACGAAAATATTGGTCGCGCAAAGTCGCGACGAAATAATATTTGTCGCGCAAAGTTTTGAGCGACGAAAAAATTAAAAAAAATATTTTGGTTTTTGAATTTTGGTTTTATTATTTTGGTTTTATATTAATTAAATTATATTAATTATTTCGAATTTTTGAGTAACGAAATATTAATTTAATTATATTAATTATTTGAGCGACAAAATATTTTGGTTTTTGACTTTTTGTTTTATTATTT